AAAAACTTTTTTCGTTTAGCAAAAAAAAAAAAAAAGGTTGTTATGATCATAGCTTCTTCAACTTCATGTGGTGGTAGGTGAGAGCTTTTGAGAGGCATTGTGGATCATTGTCTCAGTACGGAATCAAGCACATGAGGGCTATTGCAAACATATGCAATGCAGGGATTCAAATGGAACAGATGGAGAAGGCAGCGATGCAATCTTGTCCAACCATACCAATCAGTCCTTGGAGCTCTCTTCACCACGGATTCAGTGCATGATCATTTTCGCCTCCCAAATATATGTTTATATCAATGCCTCACATCTCCATCAATGATTATATTAACAATATTGTGTATATCTTAATACTAGTTTTCCTACCAACGTCCATTTATGTCATGCATCCTATGTACGCTAAGTTGATATAATTATGGTGTTCGTTGTACAATTTTCAGAGATATAAAATAATGTAACTAGTTTTCTCCGATAATATTAAAGCAAATTGTCAATCACTAGCGACAAATTTGTAGCATATAAGCATCAAGGGTTCCAATGATTTTCAGGCTTTAAGACATTTACTATATGTATAAGACAACCATGTTTTAGGCATTCATCACACGTTTTACATGGCACATAATTTGCAAATAACATCTATATCATAATTTTCTAACTTTTAAAATACATGTTGAGTCGCAAACACAACTTTTTAAAAACAGAGAAAGAATAGAGAAGGTTTTAAGCGTTAGAGATTTGCCTATCCTACTCTTGTTCTTTGGCGTAGTGGAGGAATTAAATGGCTCTTTCTAGAAAGTTGGTATTCGGTGCGGTTTCGTGGCTCGGCGTTTGGTTTAGGCTCTTTGTTTCTCTTTCTAGCGGTTTGTTGTATCCTTTTACTATCTCTTTACTATCTCTTGTTAGGACATCATAATTCATTATCCTTGTTTAGTTGATTGTAATTTGGTTTTTATGTTTAATTGATACAACCAGAAAGAAAAAGAAAAAAAATTATAATTATATATATGAAAGAAGAGGAGCTTTCTCCATCCATGCGATATGTGGCGGCTTATATGATTGAGCTGTATCTACCAAAAATTTGGCTTTTGCACTTCTCAAATGTAATACCTGAATAGCCTTTACAACCAATTACTTTCCAATTCTTTGATTTCAATTTCACGTTTTCTTGTTGTCTATACAGCTTCTTTTCTAATTAACGATGATAAAATATCAATCCAAAATTTTGGCTAAAATTTCTTCAAAAAGCTTCCCTTTACCATATGTGTAGCACCGGAAGCCACTCTAAAGATTTTACGCCAAGTTCGTTTTGTCTGATGAAGATGGTTCTGGACTTTGTCAAGGAGTACAACGACGAGAAATAGTGGTGAGTTTGACCAACTGCAATTATTTTGATAGGAATGTCAACTCTCATGAAGAATTTGAATAGGATCGCTGATCTGATGATAAAAAATGTTCTCCCCGGTGAAACTTGAGAAATCCGCAATGTATCATTAATCAAGTTTTCTCGACTATAGGTTTGTTCGATTAAGGGTAATCAAATACATGATGTATGCAGATTTAATTTGTAGTGTATGGTCCTTTGTATGAGTGTTTGTGACAATAATTTTTTGGCCGTTGTGACAAGTAAGGATACACTGGTAAAGACAAATCATGCTTGAGAAGTGTGGCCAATGGTTTGGTGATCTTACGCTATGATGTTACGTTATGTAAATTTCTAGATAATACCAGCTCGAGATGCTCGTCTATTATAACTCGATTTCTTGGTCTGTTATGTAAGCCATTTTTAAACCTCCTGGTTGAAAGACTCTTACTGTGTCATGAGTTTGTACAATGGTTGTTTGTGAAATGAAATAGGGGATATGAGTACTCTTGATCTACATTGATTTCAATTCAAAAATCCTTCGGTCCAAAATAAAGATGTCATTGTTTCAATTTGATGGACACACAAATCTCCTTACAGTTGATAGATCGTATAAACAATCAACAAATCAAAAAATATGTACACATAACATGGTTGAGAGGAAGTAAAATAAGATATAATCCTATTGCAGGTTGACTAAGTGAATTTGC